TCTTGGGTATGATCTTTCAGAAATCCTGGATGATATGATTGGAAGATAGTAAATCTTTCCCTTCTCTTCACAGAAGGGAAAAGAAAAGTCAACAACCTAGAGACCAATCTATCTGGCTTTGATACTTGGGAAAATTCTAGAGTGGCTTATAAAGAAGTGTTCAGTCTATAAACACCTAAAACCAGAAATTCACAAACGTTTGTCAAGAATAAATCTTGCAGTATCACCTTATCTCCCTTTTAAATTAAATAACTTCCTTAACAGATTGTAAGAACACAGATATCATATAATTTGACTTGAGCAAACATCCCATGATATGATAATTAGTAAGCTTAATGAAGTATGACTGGTATGCCAATTAAGTAGATTCATAGCTAACTCTAACAGCCACCTCAATAAGATTTAATCAGTGCTCTCGCCTCAAATTGGAGAAAAGTATCAAATGGGCTGCCACAAGAATCAATACTGAGTCCTCTGCTCTACAGTAATTAATGATTGGGGTGAAGAGGTAGAAGAAATGTTTGTCAGACTCACACAAAGAATACAAAGTTGAGTGGGACAGTTAAGACTCCAAAAAATATTAAAACCTTGATGATGATGTGGAAGAAATCACCAGAAAGTAATCAAATTAAATTTGAGAGATAAGTGCAAATCTCTGATAAGACTAGGGATCCCTTGATTAATAATGAAAAATGTGGAAAAATGTTATTGGAATAATAGTTGATTGCAAACCATGAATACAAGCAGCAATATACAGCTACAAAAAAGTAGAATTTTAGTCTGTGCTAACCCAAGTATAATTCCTAAATCACAGGAAGAAACAATCCATTCTATTCTGCTTTGGATAGACTCTTCCACTAGTAATGCAAACCACCTACCATCTATCATTGCAACGTTGACTATATAAATTTAATAAATAAATAAAGTTTACCAATGGAACCAGTTGTCCATTGAGGTGTTAAGTTCCCTTCCATGCATGTGTTGAGCCAGAGGCTAGGCAGCCCTATTTGTCTAAGACAGGGCTGTCAAACTCATGGGCCACAGGCCGGATGCGTCATGCGCTGGCCACGCCCATGCCTGGTTTAGCGAAGGGGGGAAAGTTGTGATATGTCATGTGACGATGCCATGACGACACGAGTTTGACACCCCTGGTCTAAGATGCTTTAGCTGTGGTTCCTGCACTGATCAGGAAATTGGACGGAACAGACTAAAACAGACCTGTGCACCATATGGATCACAGACTACCAAGCAACCTTGTGCGCTTCACTGGCATTTTTCAAAACTTCAATAAACTCACCACTGCCGAATGTCGCATTGCTACCATAGAAGGATCTGTCTTCACTACTCCAAAATACATACTGCTGAGCACATAAAATGCATCACCAATATCCCACTCCTCTGCAGTTCTAGTCACTGAACAGCCGATCAACATCAGTATTCCATTGTGAGTCCCAATTCTTTTTACCATAGTGGCTCTTTTTCCCTCTACAAATTGTGCAGGCCTGAACTAAAGGTTCCCCTTCAACTCTATTATTTATGGTTCCATAAATTTCTTTAAAGTAGTGATGTTCTCCCTCTCTCTCTCTCTCTCTCTCTCTCTCTCTCTCTCTCTCTCTCTCTCTCTCTCTC